GTGCCGTTTTTTGTGCGAGAAGTTCGTGCGTGACAGAAACAGTCCGTGGTCAGCAAAAAGTTGGAGTAGGCGTTCTCCGTTGTCAGTCCTGTTGGTTGGGATTGCATGCGGACCACCAAGTAACCTCTCTGATTCGTCCAGGGATCCCACTTGAGCATTGAAGTTGGAAAGTTGTTTACAATACCAACAACTAACCGAGAGTTTCATGTTCGTACATTCACATGACAGAGTTGAGGAAACGTTCTGCAGAGCGAATAGGTTTTAGTTAACAGTTCAGGATATGAATGGCATTGCTATGGTGTACCTACTCGGTTCGTTGTCAGCTGGTAAATTCAGCTAGTCACCAATGTGAATTTAGTCTTTTATTAAGTCCATGTGTGATACGGGTACTACGTCTCTGAGTTGAATCACCAATCTTTAAAACTGCGTCTCAAACTTGGGCAACCATTTTCCTCAATCGGAGACTGCTCAGGTTTGGATACCAGTCAGGAATGAGGCGACTGCCATCTACATGCAGGGCCCCAATTAGTGTACGAAAATGATTATCTACCAGGCACCTTATTTGCCCTGAACTAGAATGAGTAGTTTGACGGGATATACCTTTTTATTCTTCTTTTCTCTTTTTTTTTATTTTTACTTCCTTTTGTTGAATATACAAACATACTATGTGCAAGGAGGAAGAAGCGGCCAATCGAAGGGTTGCTATACAACCAACAATGGAGATGGTGGTGGTGGTGGGATTCGAACACACATCTTCCGGGGTGATAATTTGGTGACGTTACCACCGGACCACCACTGCCTACCTAGCGAAATCCAGCGGAGACAAATCACACCAATCCAATTGTCTACGCATACATAACACCCCGCTCTGCTAGTCATATCCGCTTGGAAATGACCTCAAAGCATATGGCACACTTTTCTTCGGTTTGTAATGACGGGGATGAGTCTGATTATTGATCACCGAAGACAGTTGTTCAGTCTCCAAAAAGCTTTGCGATATCAATGAATACAGGGACTTTCACCATAATGGTAACCGTGATATCATTACAAAAAGCCTAAAATGATTAAAATTCACAAGCACCCATGGCAGACAATCGACAAAAAAGGAGCAAGTTATGAGTCGAGCATGTGAAAATTCAGAGAAACCTTTTTTATCACACTTGGGTAATCCACAACGTGTAATGTAAGCTGCACGGATACATACCGTCAGTGGTGTTGGTTTACCCAAACTCTTATTTCACGCTACTACAGTCATTGTGGCATACCTGTGAATGAGCACAATTAGGGAAAGAAAAGAAAATCAAACGATAATGGATCGTAGTCCAAATTTTCCACAACATCCCGTCATAGCCACAAACATTGGAAAGGGACACAAAACAAATACCCGAAAGAGAACTTACACGTAAGGCATACTTGAACTGATTCTCCGCTTGATCCATACAATTCATGGACATGGCGTACAGCCCGATTAGTGTATGCAGCTGTGGTAACCGTTTGAACATCAGGCCAGGATTGGCCTGACAAATGCGACATGCTTGTCCAATATCTTGTGCTGCCGCAGTTTGCACACCCATGACCAATCGTCCCATGGCTGTGTGTTCTAACAAGCTCAAGTGGAACACTGTGAGCAGGGGACTGGTATCAAACACTGAGAGTTTCTCAATCTGAGTGAGAGCTTTCTCGGCCGATCGTTTGGCCCGATCAAGCATGCCGACCTGCATCCAATGCATTACTGTGATCAAGTATACAAGTATGACCATGTGCTCTCGTGGCATCCATTGAAATCGATCAATCTCATTCATAATTGCCCCCTCCGCCACTGATGATGATCAAAAGAATGAAGAAATTTTTCCACAGATTGGAGAGGGGGGAATAAGAAATAGGATGGAAACGATGGGCTTAGATATTTGTCGGCGTATTTCTGTCTGTTTGTGTGTGCATGCACAGGTGAGATAGACAAGCACTTGGTTAGTTCAGGAAATCGTTCTATTGGGTTTTGTCCACTTGTGTGAAGAGCGGTTTTATGGTAAAAGGCTTTTTGGGCCGACTAAAGTAGGATTGTCTCACTTACCACAAACAAATGTCAGTGAAATGCGAAAATATGCAAAGTACCACATAGGCTGCCGTAATAAGGATGTAACAAATGATCGAAACGGAGATCAAGACATAAAAGGAAAGCTTGTGCGGCATACTTGACTAAACAGTTGGCATATCCAGAGTGAGAATTTGGGTGAGAAATGTTAGTTTTCTATTCACACATTTCCAGCTTTTTTATAATCACTGTATTCTAATTTTAAATCTAAATTGACTTACAAACCTATCAAGAGGTATGTATACTCATTGGATACGCATATCTGAACACTTCCATCAANATTATGCAAAATGCTTCTTTAACTATGCTTCAGAGCTCGAGTTCAAAGGAAAAAAACGCATCGTGTCTTAGGGATGGAATAGAATTTGTTTAGTAATCGAAACTAGTTCGGAAAAAAATAAAAGTATGTTAAAATGGAACAAACAATGAAAAGAAATAGGCAAAAGTCCTGGGGAAATCGAAACTCACTTTCATCCATTGCGGCGAACTGCTGTATGCTCTGATGCAACTGCTTCAAGATGGGACGTGCTGATTTAGCCTGACCGGAGAGCAGGTAGAAGGAGACATGCAGAACAAGGTAAAATACCCGGAGCGCTTCGCGATGGTAATTGGTTCCACGAAATCCTTCAATCAATGAATTCACATCGGACAGCGTACTTGTGACTTCGGGAAATTGGCGACTGGCAAGAAGAAGCTGCAGACATGAGCGAAGATTAAATGAACGACAAATTCAGAAATCGGAATTAGATAATGGAACACAGAAGAAACCTCCTAGCGACCATAAAGTTTGCAATGGTTTCACGTCAACCTGCTCAGTTGTGGCAATCACATGGTGGGTTGAGTACACTCGTTTAGCTCAAAACTTGTTATCCAAACGGGCAACTAAGAAACGGTAACCAAAACTGCCGCATGAAATTGCATAGCTAATGGTTATAAAAGCTAAACTGAAATATCTTCACAACCAATGAACATTTCTCTTATGGTCCCATAGATTCGCATTCATAACCTTAGAGTTCCCTATGTTTCATATTTATCACCTCTGGTTGCTCTTTAATATTAAACCATACCTATCCCGGTTGATGCAAGAACTAGGTTTTTTATCGGTTCCCTTTGCCAAAGCAAAAATCGCTCGGTTGCCTCCATTGAAAACCTCTGATGAAAAACTTTCCTAAAAAACTAATCCACATTCTGGGGGCATCTATGCTTTGTTTGTGTCCTTGAATCTCAAACTGACTACATAATGCAGTGACTTAAAAACCGGGTGATCTTAGTCCAGCATTGTGCTCGAAACTTGTGAAAGTCGTATACTCTGTCTTCGCTGTATATCAGGTAATAAAAATGAACATCGGCTATGCAAGTTTGTTTCACAATTACCCAACACAGCACTATTCATTTAATCAATGATTAAGTTGCATGATTTTTATTGGTTATGACATACAGACCCTGAATTAAAGAACTAATGAATTACAAGTTTTGAGAGTTTCGTCACTAACGACCAAAACGATGAAGTCGATCGCCAAATGGATGAAACCTGGAATGAGCTTACAAGATAGAGAGACAAGAAAACAAACGGAACGCGGAAACACGACAGTATGAGTAAATAAGCCAAAAGATGTTTATAGTAACCATCGTAAAATGGAATGATAACAAGTTCCTTGATATGCGAACGAAACGAGGAAGAGGCAGGAAAGCAAAACGTAAAGCTACTGGAGTGGATTGGCCCAACGTGGGAAATGCAAACGGAGGAGAAGGGTTAGGTAGGGAATAAGCAATATAGTGTCGTTACGGTCAGTGCTAACTTGTTACCAAGTTTCCTGAGAAACCTAGTCAGTGAGAATAGTTAACCTGAGAGATTATGTACCTTCATATCACATTCGTTTCTTTTTCTTCACGTTAGCATGACCGTCCACCCGACGAATTACCGTATATTACTAACCAGCATTGATCACATATTACCAATAATACACAATAATGAAAAAATCTCGGTTTAGAAGGGATTATCTCATGAGGAGCTTACATTAGTTTTGATTTCACGTTTAAACTTCATCGTACCACAATTTAAATGTAATTTCGGCTGGCGATGCAACGAAGATTTTTAGCTATAAATTGATGCCTACACAATTTAAATCTTTAGTTATTGAAATCTGAATACTAACAAGGGTGTTATTTATTATTTATCTATTTTAGGAATGCGGCTCTTCAAAAATGCATGCGTTCGTGCGCCAAACTAGTGTCGAAAGCACTAAATGCTGTGAGCACAGTACACTTTCGGTTATTATATTTCATCTACTGACTAAACATTTAAGTAGTCAATGTTGAAAAGGAAAGAAATATGCGCCGAAATTGGAGACAGTAGGGTTTCAGTAAATTCACTTACCATACACTTGCTTAGCAGGAACAGGCCACGAGTGTAATCTGAATTGTGCATTTGTGCAAATTCTGATCCCATGGCTAATATTTCACAAGCTGAGTTGACATCCCGTTCTGTATATTGAGCCTGCTGCAATTGCAAACGAAAACAAGAATGAGAACCACATGTACACCTGCACATTGCAAAATACAAATGAACCGAACATCAGAATAATCGTTGAATTTGTTTGGTTGTCGTTCAACGATTGTTCTCATCTCACTTAGGCACGGCTTGTCTGGACCGTTCAACTCAATGGCACAGTGTCGGTTCATCATAGACCTTTTCAATCTATCTCATTAAAACTTGCCAAATGCATGCAGCATCCCGTCTAACTGTTTGTCTACTTGCATTTCACATCCTCCAATATAATCATTTATCACTACGTTATGTTTCATGCTGTTGTTCTTCACATCTCCCAGTCATCTAAATGGAAACACCGAGCAAACTACTAGCTATAACAGTTCTATGTATTATTATTATTATTTCAAAAGGTAACACTTAAGCTAAACTTACATCACATAGTTGTGAAGATGCTGGAGCGTAACATCTTGAGATGTCAATCCTAAAACCTTCTGGTTGGAACCATTTCTGCTTATATCCTTGCAATCATGGGGTGAATAACTCTTTTGGATGTTAGTTTATCTGTCAATTATCGAGGTACGTTCCGCTGAACATTTATTCTATGAAAAATGAGCATTCCACAACGTAGCCGAATGATAGCCACCAGTTTACAAATTTGAATCATGAAAACTTAACGTTTATGAAAAGCGTTTACAGCGAATTTAGCGAATTTAAGAGACAGTTTTTAAATCCATCGTATTCTGCGGTCTCATTAAATGACTGTTTCAGCCAAGTCGCATATTATGGGTTCATTTGTACTACACCACATTCACAAAATGCATTCTCATCTCCTGAAAAGTAATTTTTGGCGCATTCACATAGCGAGGATGAGGCTTTATTACAGTTTGTATATCCATAACCTTGGGCTTTCGCGTAAATTATATATACATATATATATATATATATATATAACAAATCACAGTACAAAGATCGTTATAAAAACAGAAAAATGTTCCATGATTTGCTCGTGGGCGCGATACTGTCAGGTTGCCCAGACCAAGACAGGCAAATTCGCAACTAGAGCCTTCGGCTAGCTAAATCCTGACTCGGTAGGTAGCAGGGCAGTGTGTTACAACCGCGATCCTTTGGGGCTCAGTGTCCAGTTCATCGGATCATACGTCCAAGATACCCAATACACCTCGATATCCAATCAAGCCGGTGACCACCACCACGACCAGGAAGCTGTGTGCGTCTTTCGTACGCCTGGCCTTGGTTGGTTTGGAATGGGGTTTTTAAACCAACTAACCGGGTGACCTGCCAGTGGTTCACCAACCCGGTTATAGACCCATATATTAGATTTTCACCCTCTCACTTTGGTGGGAAAACATCTCCACCTCGAGAAGGTGGTAAGTAGGGCTTCCTCATCAGAGACTGTTTGAGACCACTGGTCGTATGGGAGTATTTCGTGAGTTGCAACGGAAGGGTGACCAGCTTTCACGTGCTGCTTTCTCTAGGAACTTGCTTCTGGAGACCCACTTGGTCGACAGCTAAACCTGATGAAGATGATAACATCAAATCCCACAAGTTAAATTATTCAGATACTGACAGCTCGCCATGGGGAATTCACGGTTTTCATCTGCATTATTTTATCTGTATTATTCATTTGTTACACGTTAGCGCCGGTTTTTTCTCACTGTGGTAAATCAATTGGGTAGAAAAATAGTCGTAAATGAAGAAACCATGAAGCTGGGAAAACAAACCCTTTCAAAGTAATACGAAAAGAAAACGAAATTTAAGTACGGAAAGCGAATACTTACAGCCAACTCCAGGAGTAATCGACAATGCCAATAAGGATTGTTGTTCGACAATCTGATGGCGTCATTCAGGATGCATATGGCCTCATACCGTTTCCCCTGTGATTCAAAGGCAACAAAAAGGTATCGGAAATCAATGACGTGCATTTCGTTTAAAATGTTTCTGAGGAACCAAGCACTCTGGAAAACCAAAAAACAGCAAATTAGTTTGGGAGGGACATACCTAATCGTGAGGCTCACATAGGCTGATAACGTAATGTGTGTTAACGTATTGAAAAGCGACTCGTACGATAATCGACTCCGTATTCCGGTAGTAGATAGACCAGTTTGAAGAGTACATCAAGAAAATGATTGCTGATAGAAACCCATCATTATGCGAATTTGTACGGAGTACAGAAACGCCAAACATTTTGTCCCACTTCTGGTTACTGCCCTACGCATTCACTTGTGGTATAGATATATATATATATATTTCACACTTGTCTGAGGACAGAATGTGTGCCAAACAAATCATGGTGCAATAATCTTTATAAAAAGAAAAATGTTCCACGATTGGCTTGTGGGCTGAGTACTGCCAGGTTGCCCAGGCCAAGGCAGGTGAATTTTCTTGAGGAATCCACAACCGGAGCCTTCGGCTAGCCAAAGCCTGACCCGCAAGGCAGCGGGGCGGTGTGCGAAAACCGCAGTCCATTGGGAGCCGGTGTTCAGTTCATCGGATCATACGCCCTTCGGACGGGGTCAGACGTCCAAGGTGTCCAATACACCTCAATGCCCAATCGAGCCGGTGACCACTGCCACAACCGAAAAGGTGTGGGTGTGGTTCGTACGTCTCCTCATGGTTGGTTTGGAATCAGGGTTTTTGGCCAACTCCTATAGGTGAACTGCCAGTGGTCCACCAACCCGGCTATAGCCCCGGATATCGGCTTTTCGTCCTCTCACTTTGGTGGGAAAACACCTCCGCCGCGAGAAGGCAGTGAGCAGGGCTTCCTCAGCAGAGGCTATTTGAGACGCTTGGTCGTATGGGGGCATTTCGTGAGGTGCAAGGGCAGGGTGACCAGCCGCAACCCTAGACACCCACCCCCAACCATACTGAGGCCTTGGGAGGCATTCACTTGTGGAACGAGTAAGGTGCTAACAGGGAGCTGGATCTAGCGTCTGTTGAACTGGCACTTGAGGAACATAATTGAGCTTGCTGTGAACAGTGACCGAAACAACAAACGGTGGCGTGTTATACATGACAAGTCAGACGAGCGAAGAGAGGGGGTGAATCACTGTCCAATAAACTTGACCGATACTTAAGATTATCAGCCATTAACCGGTTGAGTTTTGCAGAGCCAAATACAGAAAACATAAACGTATTTTACAGCAACTAGAAAAGTGGAAGAAAAAATAAGCAGATGCACGATTACCAGAGGTGAAAGCACTTCACTGTGTGATGTACCCATCCTTATCCTACAGCGAACTCTAATGAAGCGAGCTTCACTGGTTGCTGCCAAACTCACAATGCACAAAGTACAAATGCGTGAGGTGGATGGTGAGTAGGCTTTTTTGAGGGACAGAACAGAAAGGGAACCTTTATGATCAACACGCAATACACGGTTTAACTGTACATACACACCTTTCTAAGCACTTTGAATTGATAAAAACGGCAAGCACGCTGCCATGTTCTTCATTATTTTTAGCCTGTATAATCACGTGGACCCCAGACTGGACGATGAGCGACACCTACACTACAGCCAACCTTTCTGAGCATCTCTTCGTGCCTCGTCTTCTCGTCATCTGTTAGCCTCAATGTGACGTTTTACAGCTTGCTACATACTACTCGCACCAAATTAGGTAAAAGCCGACTGTCGACAATCCCTGATGCATATTTAGGGTCTCACAACCGAAAAGCGGAACTGACAGCATTAGGGTATACTTTACTCAACCTTTCAACTTTAGTGAAACAGCACGTCGATGTCGAAGGTGCATCATGCCTGTATCTGCTGCTCAAGCCTTGGAAATGGTTGCGGTCACCTCCTGTACCACGCTACTGTTATTTGTCAAGCAACTTCCTAGATTTGAAAAGCAATCAAATTGAGCTTATTCTTAACCACCTAGTTGTAGAGCAAGATTAGTCGACACCCAGTCTTGTAGCATCACTTTGCACTATGAAGGTGCAAAGTGCACACCGACGGGAGCCTGTCAAGTGACATTTTCGCGTCTTCCATACACTCGAACAGACAGATGATATCATCAATGAACTCTGAATCTCACAACTCTTTTCCATCTGTCTGTTGGAAACCACTTCCAGCGTTCTCTAATATTTGGTCCACGACCATAAATACGGTGACTTCAGCAATTTAACATACTTCAGCGGCATTTATTTGCGAACAACGGAGTCGAAGAGAACATGGCGACCTACTGGGTCAAAAAGTGCTTTCACATCAAGGAACACTGCTGTTGATGGCATGCATGATGGAATTGAGGAATTGAGGTAATGTAAAAATATGATCAATCCACCTGCGATCCGATCGGAATCCGGCCTGTTGTTCACAGATGTTGACATCTCAAAAAGATGCGAGACGTCGAAGTGTAACGAAGGTTAACATTTTGGTGGTAATTTAGAGTAAACTTATCTCGCGTTGGTGGGGGTATGTGTTACGTATGTCATCAAAGAGGCTACCACGGCGAGCGATGTTCGCCGAGGCAGGTAGTGGGTGGAATAAAGCCAAGGGTGGTCAAGCTAAGATTGGGCATGAGGGTATGAAAACCCTAGCGAGGAGTCTGGGTCTTGTCGATTTCTCTGCAAAATTAGTGCAATGAAATCCTAAATTTTCTCTTCGATCTTAATTTGAACCTTCCCAGTCTTTCTCCTAATGATCATACAAATGGGCAACCGAAAGACAACAACCAAAACCGGCGCAAGAAAGTGCATGGTTAATGGTTGTACAAACTGAACTGAACTAAACTATCTCGCGGAAAATTGCAGTTGTTGTCGGATCGTTTCGTACACATTGGAGCGATCGCTGATTCACTCCCAAATTAGGGAATACGTTACTGCGATCAGATGCGCAGTAAGTTAGTAATAGAGCTGACAAAGAATGGGGAAAGTCAGTCAGATCCGGCAGCGTTTTCGGTCCTCGGAGCTTGAATACAAAACCGTAATTCTGTTTCTGACGCAGGATCTCACGGTGATTACCATTCTATCATCATAGTACAGAAAAATACAATGAAGTGAACTTCACTAATCGCTGCCAAATTCAAAATGCGTACAAATTTAGCGAGAATAAGTAAGATGAACACAGACTGAGCCTAATCGGAGACACGGGGAAAAGAAAATGAACCTGTATGCTCAACACACAGAACACATTCTTAATGTGCACGCATACGTTTCAGGCGCCCTGGCTTGATAAAAAATAAACGACAAGAATACCATTGCTGTCGGTTCGCCGCTATATCCTTCAGTGTCTGGAACCAATCAAGTATAGTCCCTTGGACCCCAACCTGGAGGACGAGAGAAGGTTACTCTAACCAATAGCTTTGTGCATTGCTTTCTGTCCAGATTCCAAACCAAACATGAGGTATACGAACCGCACCCACACTTTTTCGGTTGTGGCAGTGGTCACCGGCTCGATTGGGCATTGAGGTGTATTGGACACCTT